TGCCTCCGACACAGAGCCCTCCTCAGAGCCTCCCCCAGACTCCAGGACTGGCCCATGTCCCTCCCCAGCCTCCTCACTCTCCGAATCTGCTGCCAGCTCCGTTGGCCATTGGTGGGCCACAACAGGCTGATGTGAATTTGCATCCCTCTGAGGTTCAAAAGCCCGCTCTTGATTTGTGTGAGGTTGTGAGGTTTTGTCTGTGTGTCATCCACCCGTAAACCTGGGCTCAGGAGTTCCTCTTTCGGTTTTGCTGTCCTCCCTGCAGGGAAATGAAATCGATATGATTGGCGTGGGGACACACCTGGTGACCTGTCCCCTTCAGACTACCTTGGGCTGCGTCTACAAGGTAACGAACCCCTCCGGACCCTTCCCACTCTCTCGGCCTTCCGTAAGGCCACTAAAACCTGGCTGTTCCGGCAGGCCTGGGGCTGTTGACTCCAAAATATGGTCCAGCCCCACTTGGAAAGGAGTGCATGGTGTGTTTTTAAATCTATGCTTTCCTTCTACTATTCTTTTTGATTTATTGTATTGTTAGCCGCCCAGAGTCCTTCGGGATTGGGCGGCATACAAATGCTATTAAACTTTGAAACTTTTGCTTTTTGAAAGCTGTATCCAGCTTTATGTGCTACTATTTACCAAGCCTGAATAGTCCTGGCTACTTGGAAGGCATGAACACCTGAAATTTTCCTGTTTCCACATGAGTCCTTTATCCCCTTCTCTTCCTCTTCACCTTCTATCAACTGTTAGACAATTCATCTCATTCATCACATTCAAAAGCTGCTATGTTTTCATGTACAAACTGGGTTTATATACTAAAAATAAGGCTTAATGTTGTTTATTTGGTTATACTGAAAAGAATCTCTTAAGTGTCAAGTGGACCTTTTGCAAGATAAAACAACCTCAGAGCCAATTTTTAACCAGCCTGTAATATCACGGATCTGCTACTTCATTTCAAGATCACCTTTTCTTATTTTATTTATTAAATTTTTATCCTGTCTTTATTATTTTATAAGTAACTCAAGGCAGTGAACACACCTTACTTCTTTCCTTGTACTTTCCCCACAACTATTAGGCAGGAAGTCACCAAATAATATAATATTCTTATGTCAGAAATGTAATAATAGCATCAGCCCCCAAATGTTTTTTATGAAGCTTAGTTTTCTAAAAACCAATAACTCTCTTCTGAAAACAGGACCAGTGATTTTAGATTTTTTTTTTTGTCCAGCATCATTGCTACACTATATTGCCAAAAGTATTCGCTCATCCATCCAAATAATCAGAATAAGGTGGTCCAATCACTTCCATGGCCACAGGTGTATAAAATCAAGTACCTAGACATGCAGACTGTTTTTACAAACATTTGTGAAAGAATGAGTCGTTCTCAGGAGCTCAGTGAATTCCAGCGTGGAACTGATAGGATGCCACCTGTGCAACAAATCCAGTCGTGAAATTTCCTCGCTCCTAAATATTCCACAGTCAACTGTCAGCTGTATTATAAGAACGTGGAAGTGTTTGGGAACGACAGCAAGTCAGCCACGAATGGTAAGGCCACGTAAACTCGTCCAACATCAGTGTTTGACCTCACAAATGCGCTTCTGGAAGAATGGTAAAAAATTCCTATAAACACACTCCTAAACCTTGTGGACAGCCTTCCCAGAAGAGTTGAAGCTGTTATAGCTGCAAAGGGTGGACCGACGTCATATTGAACCCTATGGATTAGGAATGGGATGTCACTTACAGTAAGTTCACATGTAAAGGCAGGTGAGCGAATACTTTTGGCAGTATAGTGTGTTTTCTATGGTCTTCAGCACCAAAAATAGAGTCTTCAGTTGCAAAAAGGGTTCCCTTTGCTGTCTTGCGCTATTTCTCAGAAGGTCTTCAATGCTGATGGGCCTCAAATGTATCAAGGAATTCCTAGGCAAGTCTGCAGAGGATATTCTACTTGTTCTGTTAAGCTCAGCTGTCTCCTTTAGCGTTGCAGTTTCCCTGAGGCTAGTACAAAGTGGTACTCACTTCACAAGAAGTAGACTAACAGCATTAGTGGGCAATGTGCCAAATCCTTATAGATCTCTTTGAAGGTGACAGAAAGCTTTGATAGCTTCTGTGGGTTATTTTTTTTTATTAATTCCAGGCTCAGGCATAATTTTGTTCATTGGCAAGAAACTATAAATCACTTTCAGTGGTTACCTTTGAAGCTAGAAAGGTTGGGACACTAATCAAGATAAAAGGAACTCTTTTATCAGTTTGCTATTGCAGTATGCATTATGGTATAGTTATCAGATCCAGGCTGCAAAAATAGATAGCCACTAGATGGCAACAGGATGATACACAATATAAACTTTTTGCTGCAATTTAGTGATCATTCACATCTTAGCTGTATAGTAGCCCTATTGTGCATTATGTTTTATGTACTTAGGATAAAGTATCAGTACAGTATGACTTGCTTTCTTCCGAGCAGAAAATTCATGTCCGTAAAAATTTATTGAAGAAGTCTGCTTAAAGATAAGTTATATTCAAGGATGAGGAAGAAAAATCTACTTAAGTAAGATTCTTATTCTGAATCATTTACAGCACTGCAAATGTAATTAGACTTTGAATATATCAATACCCAATTATCTCTCTCAATTCCAAACCAAACAAGTGTTGCTGCTAAGATCCTGGCTGAGTACCTGGAGGCTATATGGGCCTAGATAGGAAGGAAGGCTTAATCCTTCCAAGACTGAGTGATATTAGGGCCTCCTGAATCTTCCATTCAAGGACCTTCCATCCATACTCTTGTATGAGCTAGTACTTCATTTGCAGGGTGTGCAACGGGAGAAGGGGCTTCACTCAGCTCAATCTAGTGCACAAGTTGTGTCCTTTCAGAATCACCCATCTATCCCTGTGAACAACCCAAGGTTCAATTACTCTAATGCACTCTACATGGAGCTGCCCTTGAAAATCACTCAGACACATTGGGTGCAGAATATAGCAGTGTGGACAATGATGAACATGTTTTAGTATGTCATATGGCATCTCTGCCCCACAGCTGCATTGGTTGCCAGTCTGCTTCTGACTGCAAGATGATTATTACCTGTAATGCCCTATATGGCACAGGGCCAATTTACTTCAGGAACCACTGATTTCCCATAGTTTCAGCCTGGCCAGTATATTTGGCACACTCTGGGTCTCTGATTGAATAGTGTCATTTATAATATTGGAACCTGGGAAGTGTGCCTACCCTGTCATGACACCTGTCCTTTGGCATGCGATCTCTCAGAAATCTATGTGCCTCTCATCCTATCAATGTTCTCTAAGGACTTGAAGACTAGTTATTCTCTTCCTAATCCCTCATTGTTCAAAAACTAAACTTCAGAAAAGAATATTTCTATCAAAGTCCAGTTTATTAATAAATATATGCAAGCTTTATTGCATTAATACAATCAGCTACATTTATTGTGATAAATTGTTCCGTCCACTGAATTAAGGACTTCTCTATGCTTCCCCAAATCTGAAGCAAACAGTTAATGAATGCAAAGTGTGGGAGCAACCATTGCTTCTTCCTGTCACACTCTGAACTATTGGACTATCCACTGATTAAATCTGTTGCTAATTTCTCACCTTTTCTCCACTCCCTTGCCTGTAACACTTTTCCTCTTCTGAAATTACTTTTATCCTGAGATTGGGGTTGTTCCTATTCAAGGGTCTTTTTCAATACAGGATATGTGAGAGATGCAGCTTTGTCCAGTATGCTAATATGTCATACCTACAGGAATTCCAGGGGTTCTCAGAATAAGATTGAGGACTTCTTAACAATTTTAGTAGGTCTCTACTCCATCTAGGCCTTGGAAAAAGAAGTTGCAGCTGTAAGAGCTGCAATTCAAAATTAATTTAATCTTATTTTCAAAACTGGATGGTTCAGAAAAAGATAATCATCTTTTGCAATAATCTATTCTTATTAGTTAATTTGTAACTATATATAAAGATGCCTAAGTCTGGAACCTTCTATGATGAAGAATTCTGGGGTTGCAATTCAGATAATAATGGTTTTCTCAAAACATTTATTTGCTCAATATACTTTTGTACTTCCATGGAGTAAAATGAGAATCCCATATACTGAGAAAAACAAACTAAAACATTCGGGAGGAAAACATGCCTTATTTTTTAACTTGTTTTTTAAATAAATAAGAATGTATCACTGCCCAAATTAAATCCAGACTGTAACAGGAATGCAAAGACTACACATTTGAGAGGAGATGTAATATTAGAGACACCTGATATGCTATATTCTTTATACTGTAGCTTTACTTTTCAAAAGTCATTCATGACTTTTCTGTTAATAATTCCCACAAATGGAAATCTTTCACTTTAAAAGTTGCAAGGATGTCCTGCATGTGTGTATGATTTTAACCATAAAGTTGTCAAGGAGAAAGTAACCTTTATTGTAATATTCTTCTATTTAAAAGTTTAGTGACACAATGCAAACTAAGGAAAACTTCAGCACAAATAAATCCACATGTGGTTTGACGTATTTCCTCATTGACTTAAATAATATAGGCTACATTTTAGCTTGGATAAAAACCTAACTATAGCATGACTCTTAAGATTTTATTTTAACATTTGCCATTCACTGAAAATGACCCAAGGCATGATAATTAAGAAGCTACACTGATTTCTTCCCCACCTAACTCAAAATCAGTAACCTTGGACACCTTGTCACTTAAGACACATTAGTTCCCTTATGACCCCAAAGACTACAGTGTAACAGTTCAGTGGCGAAGAAAACAAGATGGGCACACTGAGAATTATCCAATAATTCCAGTTGCTCCTGAACAAGACATGATGAGCCACACTGTCCTGAAAACTTGTCTATACCACAAAACTCTAACATGCATTCATATACAGCAAAGTTTGTCTTAATCACCTGTTGGTGCACTGGCAAATTAATGGTTTCATACATGTAATATAGTATAGGCTCTTCTGTCCTTTAGTAGATGCTTCCTTCTTTCCTGGATTACAGATACTGACCAAATTAACAGGTTTTGTAGTTTAAGTTGAATTAACTTCCAGAATATTTTTCTTGCCTATGTTAGGTTACAGACTATTTAAGTTTTTGGGGGAAAATATATATATATCATATTTGACATACATTGGGTTTCATTAATACCATTGTTTCATTTCTAGAAAGAGACACTGGAAGCTACTAACAAGATGCACTGTTTCTTTGAAATGATTCCACACCCACCCAGCAAATCCTGACATACCAACATGACATAGGACATAGGACTTCTGCTCCTCCTACCTCGTGCAATATCTGTACAAAAGCATCTTAGCATGTTGAAAACAACTCATGTTTTTTTTTCCTCTCTTTAATTTGTTTCCTCATTAAAAAGCATGAGGCAGCCCTTAAGTGATGCTTTAAAGGTCACTGAAGTTCAGCTCAGGCAAACTGGTGGATAATTCACTGCTGATTTCTGCCCTCTCCAACATGCTACCAATTGCCTCTCCGTGGATATTCTCCAGTTTCAAACTTGGTAAAGAAACCTTGTCATCTAAAAGGTACAAGAAGTATAATTAGTAAATTTCTATGAACCATTAAATAAGAACACATTTTCAAGAGGACCTTTTATTTATTTATTTATTTGAATTTATTAGCCATCTAATTTATTAGCTGCCCAATTCCTATGGGCTCTGGGTAGTACACACCTTTAGTGGGTTTTCTTTTCCCCAAGTGATCCTAGTGGGGATTTGAAAAGAGCTTTAAAACAGCCTGTTAAATAATTAGTATATCTTTGTAAAAAAACAGGATCTTTAGCTGACATCAAAGGCATATATATATGGCACAATGAGCTAGTGAAACTGCAAAGTACTGGAAGCTTTTTGCATGGAGAAGTGGAACCAGATATACAGAAGCTGGGAACTGCCCACCTTCTTTAAAAAAAGAAGTAAATTAGGAGGATTAGAACAGAGCAAAATCTACATAAATTTAGGAAAACCATTCTTCCAAATCCTGCTAATGAGAATGTTGAACAGTTTAATGAAATGGTATCAATATCTTGGAAGAGAATGTTAATCCTTTTATTCTCCCAAAATATTGTGTGTCCCCCCCGTCCCCCCCAGTGTGATGAAATAGACCTTGAAATTTCAAGACGTGGAAAAAGAGGTCTTTTTAGTATTGGCTCCTTCCCTCCTCATAGCAACATCATAGTTCAGTATTTCAAAATAAAGTAGTGCTTACCAACAAGTTGTACAACTTCTGTTTCACTGAAAAGTTCATCCGAGCTGACATCTGTGAGACTGAACTCAGAGATAGAATCATCACTACTAAAGGAGAAAGATAAGTCTTCTTCATGCAGTAACTCTTCATTCTTTTCTAGCAGACAAAACAATGAAAGTGATGAGGAATCCAGCAGCAACTCATAACCATGGGCTCTATTTTCCAAAGCAATATGTTATTTAGTAAAGAAATAAAAATGTATTAAAAAGACAATAGTGCACTTTGTTCCATCTCTGTCATTTGTATTGGCTGCACATTATGTTTTGCAACATGAAGTAATTAGGAAATGTTTTTATGTTATACAAACATTAGTGTTCAAAGAAAGGAAATTTAGAGGTATGATATATTTCAGATTATATTAAAGGACAATAGTTAAAAGATTATATTGAATTACCATTGTTGCCTGAAGGCCATTTTAAATTAGTAATAGATTGATTGCTTTTCAATATAAAAGCAGATTAAAAATTGGACTAATTGGAAGTATCTATCTTATTACTATCGGTAAAAGAGGATTTGATATAGATAAGCAGATAATGCTAGAAAACAGTCAAAATTAAATTATTTTCCGCCTTTAATTCACTGGGGATATTAGAAAATTGCCCCATCCCTTGCCTGTCCCTCACTGAGCAAAAGTGAGATTACCATATCTATTCTCTAGCAACCAGAAAGCTGTATCACAGTAACCACAGCCCTCTTTGGAACTTGTATGTCATTAGCAAAAACACAGGGAACATAGGATGCCTATACCAAAAGATTTGCATTGATTGCCATGCACAATTTAAACAGCCAACATTGATTTTTGAAGTTTTAAATGGTTTTGGACCTGATTCTGCCATTACAGTTTGGTCCGATTGTTAAGAACTATAATTTAGCTTAGTTTTTAAATAAAATAGGAAAGGACCCTTGTAGAGAGAGCTTTTGCATACTTGTCTCCACTGCCAGAGGCACTCCTTTCTGGCACATTGAAGAAGGCTTCCTCTTGCTTTATTTTCAGACTACTGAATAGCCCTTAGAAGTTGCATTTTTTCTCTCACGTCCTCCCTATTTAGAAATTCTGCACTGGTACATCTCTTACATAGATTGTTGATTGGTTTTATTTTTCAAAACTTTTCACTTTAAGTACTTCCCAGATTAGAAAAGAGAGCTACATATCAAATACATTAATAGCTAACTAGCAAGTATGTTGCATTGTTGACTGGTAAGAGTTCAGGTTACATTTAAGCTAGACCCCAAGTATTAGTGTGTCTAGCTTATGTCAGACCATTTCCTTAATTATACAATGTTTTACACAGAATCATACACATCTCTCCTAACCAGGTACAATCCTCATGATAGGAGTACAGAGAAGAACAATAAAGTTGATTAGGGGATTGGAGGCTAAAACATATAAAGAACAGTTGCAGGAATGAATGTTTAATGAAAAGAAGGACTAGGGATATGATAGCAATGTTCCAATATTTGAGGGGTTGCCACAAAGAAGGGGGAGTCAACCTATTTTCCAAAGCACCTGAAGGCAGGACAAGAAGCAATGGAAGAAAACTAATCAAGGAGAGAAGCAACCTAGAACTAAGTTTAAGTTTAAGTTTTAATAACATTTGTATGCCGCCCAATCCCGTGGGACTCTGGGCGGCTAACAATACAGTAAATCAAAAAAGAAGAAGAGGAAAGAAAAAAATAGATTTAAAAAAAACACATCATGCACTCCATTCTAAATGGGGCTGGACCATATTTTGGGGTCAACAGCCCCAGGCCTGGTGGAACAGCCAGGTTTTAATGGCTTTACGGAAGGCCGGGAGAGTGGGAAGGGTCCGGATCTCTGCAGGAAGATCGTTCCACAGGGCCAGAGCAGCTACAGAGAAAGACCTCCCTCAGGTAGTCGCCAACCGGCACTGTCCGGTCGACGGTACCCTAAGGAGGCCCAATCTGTGCGATCTTATAGGTCGTTGGGAGGTGTGTGACAGGAGGCGGTCCCGTAGGTATCCAGGTCCCAAGCCATGTAGGGCTTTAAAGGTAACAACCACCACCTTGAAGCGCGTTCGGAGACTGATGGGAAGCCAGTGCAGCTCGCGGAGGATAGGTGTAACATGGGTGTACCTAGGTACACCCGATATCGCTCGCGCGGCCGCATTCTGGACTAATTGTAGTCTTCGAACACTCTTCAGGGGTAGCCCCAAGTAAAGCGCGTTACAGTAATCAAGCCTAGAGGTGACAAGAGCATGAGTGACCATTTGAAGTGCCTCCCGGTCCAGGTAGGGCTGCAACTGGTGCACCAGGCGAACCTGGGCAAAAGCCCCCCTGGTCACAGCTGACAGATGGTATTCTAATGTCAGCTGAGGATCCAGGAGGACACACAAGTTGCGGACCCTCTCTGAGGGGCGAAGAGTTTCGTCCCCCAGGGTAAGAGGTGGAATATCTGGTCCGTTCTTGGGGGGGCAACATCAATAGCCACTCTGGATTGAGAGCCAGCTTGTTTTCTCCCATCCAGATCCTAACAGCCTCCAGGCACTGGCACATCACTTCTACCGCTTCGCTGAGTTGGCACAGGGCGGACAGATACAACTGGGTATCATCCGCGTATTGATGATATTTGATCCCGTGCCGACGAATGATCTCACCCAGCGGCTTCATGTAGATGTTAAATAGGAGGGGGAACAGGACCGAGCCCTGAGGCACCCCATATTTTAGGGGCCTAGGAGTCGACCTCTGTCCTCCAACTAAGAAGGAATTTCCTGACAGTTAGACAAAATAATGATTTGTTTCCAGAATTTGTGGATGTTCCAACACTGAAAGTTTTTAAGAGATTTGGCAGCCATTTGTCTGAAACGCTATAGGGTTTCCTGCCTGAGCAGGGGATTGAAGACCCTCAAGGTGCCTTCCACCTCTTGTTATTATGTAATATTGTACAAACCAGTACTTACCCAGATGAGTGCTATCCTTCTTGGGTTGCATAGTATACTTGTCTTCTAAGCTGAGACATTTCACTTGTTCTTTTAGATCACTCACTGTAGATCTGATTAAAAGAAATAAAATCCATAGTAGTACTGGTTCCAAAGGAACAAATACATGGAACCCGAGACAAACCTAAATTCAGGGCAGTTTTAAAGAATTCAAAGAGTTGCAGTATAAAAAAATTAAGTATTTTATAGTGCTTGTGGTCAGAAACATAATCTATTTGACAGATGCTGATGTTAAAGGCAAAAGGCTCAAAATTGTATTAGGGAACAGAACAAAGGCAATTTATCTTATCAATCAATTTTCTCTGGATGCATCAAATTCATGGAGTGGTCAGGCACTTTTGTTAATAAACTAATCATGTAAACAGGGAGCCACCTGGTGGGCAATTGCCTGCTAGTCCTAACTTAACATTTCCCCGTGTACCATCACACTGTCTTCTGAATGAGAGGAATAACCACCAGAATTTAACCACCATGTTGTTCTCCACAATCCTTCATGAAGCTCTACATGAACACATGTTCACTAAAGCATACAAAGCACAGTATAGAATGGCTTACTTGACAACACTGAGCTCCTGTTGGGTGTTCTGAGTTTCATTCCTTGTTTTGTCAAAATCCAGAACCTGAGCTTTATGTGTGTTTATTAATTCTTCCAACATCTGGAAAGGACAAAAAAGTGTAGTGGTGAATATAGGTTTTTATCTAGTTTTTTTAAAAAGATGAACAAGAAATAATTAAAAGGGTATTTTTTGCTTAAAGGTAGATAGTTCCCCATTTACTCATCTGTACAATTAGGAAAAAAAACTAGTATACAGAAAACAAATTGGCAAATTATATTCACACTCTTGTAGCACAACATTATGACTAAATTTCAGCCTTAAGAGGAAGCTAAAAGGACAGCCGCCATGATACTACATTATGCATATGTAGTTGGAAAAATACAATGTATTGATGGCTGCACATGCTTATTCCCATCTGTTTTCCTCTTATTCCATCCTATTTCAGCACACAGACATTCCTGATGATGACAGAAGAAAAAACAGACAACCAAACTAACAGCAGCTTTGTGTAGGTGCCCCCCCCCCCATTATAAAAAAAACCATTTTAAGGAAGAAGGAATGTTTGGGCAAATGAGCCCAAAGATGATTACTTTTTCCATTTATAGATTTAGCTAAGAACTACCGTGTTTCCTTGAAAATAAGACATGGTCTTATTTTCTTTTGACCCATAAAATAAGCGCTTGGTCTTATTTTCAGGAAGGTCTTATTATTTTTTGAGGTGTAGAAAGCAGCAAGCATGGTTATCTCATGGCTGCTACTGTGTTGCAATATTTTCAGGGAGGGCTTATTTTCAGGGGATGGCTTATTTTAGCACATGAGCTCAAAAGCCCGATTGGGCTTATTATCCGGGGGGGTCTTATTTTCAGGGAAACAGGGTACACTGTGATCCTCCACAGTGACTTCCACCTTTTTTTGGGGTCTAATATAGATAAGCTTTATTAGACAAAGATTGAATTCACTTTTTATGTGGGGGGTAACATTATTAGCATTAAATCATTCAGTAGCAATAGAGTATTTATAGTTGTACCTTACAGTACCGGGTTTGGATTCTTTTAATCTCATGAGTTGCAGAAACTTGATTGTATAGTTCCTCTTCGTGGCAATCTAATGGACAAAATATAATTTTTTTAAAGCTGTGTATCTCTTTTCCTCTTCTTCAATAGGGCCACCAATAAGTGGTCCTTTACCTGATGCAGAAGAGAGGCTATGGGAGCAGGAACTTCAAGAATTACTTACCAAGTTTATGTTTCAGCTGATCTATTTCTCTTTTGATGCACTCGTATTCTTGCCATAGGATTTTTTTACTAGAATAAGAAGAAAAGCAGGACTTTAAGCAACAAAACAAGGACTAGTTCTCTTAACTATATACAAGCTCCCTTAGAAAATGAACACAAGATTTAAATTATTAACAGAATTTGAAAAATAGCAAATAGGCTCTCTGGAATTCCAATGCATCAAGAGATAGTAAATTACCCAGCTGTTTTTCATGGGCTAGAAATGTCTGGGACAGACAAGCTCACTCATTCCTAATTATAATAAGCCCTCTCATTAATATTATCTATTACAAGCAAATATGTTAAAATCATTATTAGGAGAAAAAATTTATTCCTTCTAATCCAACAGTTTCACGGTATACTCAAGCTTCGACATATGTTTATCCCAGTAAGCATGTCTTCTGGATAATAATAGAAAACTGTTGTTCCCTACCATATTATCCTGCCAAGTTATTTATGCTTATCAAATGACTGACCTCTCCAACTTATCTTGCATGACGCCAGGACAGGAAAACAGATCAGGAGTACAATCTCCATCTGACTGATGAAGCACATGTTGTCGAAGGCTGCAGAGCTCATTCTTCAACCCTTCCATCCGGCATCCCAGCAATGATTCAAAGCTACCAGGTGAATTATGCTGTAGGCGATTCATTTCACCTGCATAAATACCCAGAATAGGAAAAATAAAATTAGTTCAGGCCACACATTCTAACTGCTAAGACTGACAACAATATTTGGCTTTAATGTCATTTATTATTAGTGTTAAGTACTCGACTAGAGATTGATTTATCCCCATTTCAATAACAAGTTGAAAAAAAAATCTCCGAAATCGTACTTGTAGGAGAAACAAATAGGGTAGTAAAAATAAGGCAAAAAGAATTTCCATTGCTTAGAATTTAGGCACCATTCTCTACAGCTATTGATTTTCCCTATAGAATACATTATGCACTTATACATGTGTACAGATTTCATTGTCACAAAGTAAGGATTTACAAAAAGGTATCCGAGGCATTTAATAATACAAACAGAAGCTTATATACTTCCTTTGCCAATGAGATGTTCATATTCAGTACTCCAACCATTATTATTTAAGATCCATTTTTGCTTTTATTTTAGTATTAACTTTTTTAGGATATAAATGGAATAAATACTGATCATTTTGAATTTTGCTAAAACTCTGTTCAATATCATCCACCTCTTTTAGTTTTCATTATTTTTTCTAATAATGGGCTGAAATGATGGTAAATCCATTGTATATTTCTGAATTCAGGGAGTAGAAATTGAGTCATTTTTTTCATTACGGCAGATCTCTAATTTCAACAAATAGTAGATACTAAATTTACCAGGGCAGGGGAGAAGAATCACAGGTTTTCTGGGATTAGAGAAGCTGTTTGGAAAATTCAAAGGAATGTGTCAGCTTTGTTTTGATAAGGCATATCTGAAGATGGGAAAACTTTCAAGCCATTGAATTGTTAATTATTTACTTTACAGGCTCAAACGAATTAGGACCAGGTTGTGAAGATAATTTTCTCCTACTAGAATCTGCTCCATTATCTGCTTCAAACCTTTTTTTTTGTATTTTCTCAAGAAATTAATTCAGTGTGGGTGGAATATCCCAAGACTACAGTTCTATAACTAACCTCTAATCTTAAAGGATTATCTTTGAATTGTGCTTTTTAAATAAGATCAAATGGGAAATTTTGGAAAGAGGTACATTAACATTTAATATAAATTTCATTTAAACCCAGGTTAGTCCAGGACCTGCTCAGTTTGGAGAGTTCAGTCTCCAGTGTACCACTCAATTAACAAATGTAGCTTCACTTTGAAAAAGGCCACAAATCCGTGGCTAGGCTATGGAATTCCATTTTGTGAGAAACCCTTTTTTATTACATGCCTAAGGGCTTTCTTCTAGTTTGCAAGAACTCTCTTTTGGTAAATATTTTTCCTGCCAATTCACCAATGTTCAAAACTAAAAATTTCACTCTTAATCACCCTAATTATTTAAAAATATTTAGAAAAGGGAACCGGATTAAAAAAAATCATGCTTCTTTAATATTCTGGAGAAAAGTTTTGTTTCATGAGAAAGAAAGAAGAACAGCTTTGGAAAAAGAACTGCTAAGCTTTCATACCTTCTAGATGATTAATACTTTGCTGCTGCTGTTCTTTCTCTTGTTTGAGCCGACATACTGCTTGGGTGAGTGACTCTATAATCTAAAGAGGCAGAAAGGAGCCACAGTATAAGTAAACATCTCCTAATTAAATGTTCCAAAAAGTTCCAGGATGAAAAAGGTTTAATAAATTGAAATGATTAGAATTCAGATATTTATACCCCAATGCATCTCCTTTTCACTTTGAATTTCATTCTTTCTTTCATTCATTTGTGGGCTTTCACACTATCCTTTTCTATATCCTCCCAACTTAATAAACCATAATATTTTGGCCCAAGAGAACGTTAAGCTATGATAACTGAACTTACACATAGTATCCAAACCATGTGCATCAACATTTACTTGGCTTGAAGGCTACATTCATTTGTGAGGTATATGATGGCTTGAAGGCTACATTCATTTGTGAGGTATATGAATGTCAACATATCCAAAATAAGTAGTCCATAACAGAGATTCTGGAGAAGGTAAATGTTTTAATGCCGTAAATAGGTGCTTTAGTCTCTACAGAGCTTAAATTTCCTCATCTTCTCTTAAAAATGGGTTGGAATTTTGACTGTCTACTTTGGAAAATTTCTAGATGCCACAAAAGTAGTGTTGATAGCTTGCATAATCCACACATTTTGCTTTCTGCACGGAGCCTAGAACAAAAACTATGCTATAACTTATCATTATGAATCAGGCTAGTAATATTAAACAGTAGTTTGGAAGCCAGAGCTATCCTTTTTGAGCACAATTACTCAACTGTTTTAAAGCATTTAAAGCACTTCATGTTTTGGATAAAATTGTTTTAATTAATTAATTTGAGATTACCAAACTACAGAAAACTTGGCAAAAACCTTAACAAAGGAGAAACAAAATGTGTAAGCATCTACTTCTTTGTGTCTGTCCCACAGAAAAGAACTGTGCATCTATTCAGTATAAATTACCTGGGCTTGTGAATGTATTTGCTGGCTGATAGTTGAAAGTTCCTCATTGGCCATTCTACAGCATGGGTGAATTCCACATGTGAAATGCAAGGATGGTAGTCCAGTCTGTGGCTGAGTTGGAACAGGACTCCTAATATTTATACTGCCCACTAACGAATCAGCTGCAGAGATGAAAAATAATGAACTAGACTAATCTTGCAAGCATGGAAGCATGAGTGTTATTTTGTTTTAATTGCTGGAGATAAATTCCAGTTGAGTTAATGATAAATATATTTTTCCATTCATCCTCATTTTAACAACTACTCCATAAACAGGCTGAATCTAAAATGTAATACACAGAAGTCAGAATATTTATATTTTCCTCTAAACTTTCTATTTCAATCATCTTCATAGTTCAAATTTAGACACAGAAATTGTTTTTAGTCCTCATTGTCATTTTTCTCAAAATTCACATTAATTGGATTTGTAGGTAGGGCTAGGACTAGGACTCAGTCTCCTTGTTTGTAGTCTGATGCTTTAACCACTACACTAAACTGACTCCTGAAGTTAATTATAGCAATTTTTAATTGATTATTTTTCACTAACTCCTTTTACCTTATGTTTTTGTTTTTTTAAGATTGTAAACCTGGGAGAAAGAATTTGTTGTAATTTTGTTGGTTAGTAACCAATGACCTGGAAATTGTATTACATTTCAGTTTTTACAAATGGGGTAAATGGCACTGCCACTGATTAGATTAAGTAAACATTAAGACTTGTCAGACTAAATCAGACCAAGTTCTGCCTGAAGGATAAGGAATCTTTAGCTTTCCAGATGGTGCTGTGCTTCAATACTTTCCTTGCATGGCTATTTAGCTTCCAACAAACCAGACCTATAATGCTGTTAAAGCAGGACACCTAAATCATAACCATCTTTTGTTTGCTTTAAAAATATATTCCCTTGAATCTGAAGAAAGCTACCATTAGAATTCTAGCAAGAGAGTTTTTTCCCCTTGCTGAAAACTTTTTGCAATCAAGAAATTATAAAAATCTCTATTTTCTAAGAGATGTCCTGAAAACATACGGAACATGTCAATCACTTTTACCTTTGGAAGAGATGCTGTCTGTGTTTAGATGTTGCTGCAAAAGAAAAAGAAACAGAATGATTAGAAAGTTATCACATATTTCAAAATACAATTTTGAAACAAATGCAACTTCAAATTGCCATCAAATCGGAATCTTTAATATCATTATAGTTTTGTAAAAACTTGTGAACAAAAAGTATAAGATAGAATGTTTTCATTTATCATATCACTTTAATTGGCATGCAATAGGAGAAAATGCATTCAATATAACTTAAGCCAAAACAACTCATTTGCAACTTCAAAGGAACATTCTTTATTCATAAAAAGAATTCAAAATTGTTCCATAACCACTATCTCAATATAGTATATAAAATAATTCAGAATATATAATCTCAACATTAAACATAATTAAAATAGTTAATTCAAGTCTATGAACTAATGGTTTACTAGTAGGAAAATACACAGTAGGACCAATCTGAATGAAATCAGTTTTTATCTATTGTTTTATTTATCCACATCATTGAGAAAGTCAATGAACAGCGTTATTATATAATCATATAATCATTCAGATTCTTAGGTTTTTTTTATAGAATAAAGGTAGTCTCTCTTTGTACCTTCGAGGCAAGGTATTTCATAATTCTATAATACTGCAGAGTATTTTTTTCCTGGAGACTAGATGTTAAGCTGATACAGCGTTTGTTGGTAAATCCCTAACTGTATGAACATGTATAAGGGATGAAGATTTCTCTGAGATAACCCAGACCAGATAAACTACACTATCAGTTCCTTAGCACTTTTTCATAACACTGATGACAGCTGCAATTCAGGAAACATTTGGAGGGCCACATGCTCCTCATCTGTTTTACTGAACAAAGCCTGTAACTTAAGTTGAATCTTGATACGTCTCAAGGAGTCTACATAATTAATTCAATACAAATCTAATGGGAACCACAAGTCAGGAAGAGGTAGTCAATACTTGTTACATTTTTCCATTCCTAATATAAAAGTCAGTGCTTTGTCCAAAATGTTGTCATGTTGCTCTACTGTTTGAACTGAGCATGAAGACACTGGTCCCTTTAGTCACCATCAAAGTATTTAAATATGACCTCAATGCAAATGGCAGCATGTAGCTGAACAAACAGGATCAGTGCTACCAAGTACTTGGACAGAAAACTATCACAAAATATATGCTGTGGACTTTCCAGACTAGTGAAAAATCACCCTAGAAGAAACAAGTAAAAATAACTTATGTACTGTTGTCAACAAATTATATATAAATATCCTTACAAAGTCACCAGGAGTCAAGCCTCAATTAAACACTTTATCCTTTCTCTTTTTATTTTGTCATTTATTATAACTTGTTCACCTGCCCGGTAACTGCTATTTAACAATGTTGAAAAGCTTGGTAGTCAAAACCTTCAGCATTAAAGACAGGGTTTTTGGGAGGGGACACTACCAACATCTTTTCATTTAATAGAATACATTTCTTAAGATGCTTTTGTATCTACATATTTAGTATATGTTTAGCATGTGTGTGTGCATATAAACAGAATACTCAAGCACAAAATATTTTTCACCAACAGAGTAGAAAAGTAATATATTGCTCTGCAGCTTAACTTGCCTTAATTTTGGTCATGTTGCTGTCTGTTTCAACCAATATAGAACTGAGGCGTGCGTCCCAATCCATGCTGTTGAGGAAAAGATTTCTTTTAGAAATCCACTGGTTACCCAATTTCAACCTTGGGAAAAACTTTGGTTAGAAAAAAGAATATCTGCAAAAGCACTCAGAGAAAATGTTTATTTTCCTCTGTTATCTTCACAAAAATATATTGCAGCACACACACAAAAGTCATCACAAGATGCAGACTTGAAACTGCAGGTCGTTCTGTATAAAATCCATTGTAAATTTTCTGCAGAGCAGCCGAAGCATACCCAATATAGAAAATACCACTGAAGGAGTATAAACATATACTCTCCAGAATTTTCTTTTTTCAAGGTTCCTAAATAGATGGAGAATGGGAACTATGCAAAATACTTGTAATAGGTGACAAGTATGTATTTTATGTTCAATGGATGAAGTTTTAAAGTTATTAATATTGACGTACAAACCAAACAGCACAACCAAGTACTACTGTAACAAGAAAATGTTATTATGTGTGATGCATTTCAGTAAAATGGACTGAAAGACTATAGTGACATTTTCATGTTGGAAAAGGGACTCACAAGCATTCTTTAAATCACAGATTCAGATCCAGATTTTAAATCACGTGCTTCAGAACAATCTTTTATATCGAAAGATAAAACCATCCAGGCAGGTTCCTTTTAAAAAAGCAACTGGGCATTGCTACCTTTTTTTACATGCAGGAAAAATGAAAGTTGCTTCTAATGGGGAACAAATTCTTTTTTGAGTACTTTACGTAACACAATAAATATGTTCTCATGACAGGGAAAAGCAGAACTCAACTTTCAATAATACTTCTAGTTAGCTGAGTTCACAGGACTACTTCTGGGATTGCTCCGTATTGGCCTCTTACCAGCAAGCTTGCATGCAGAGGTTTTATTGAAAGAGTATTTTCCTGACGAGGTGCAATCATAAAAGAAGAAACTCCCCCCCCCCCATGTCAATTGGAAGGAAGGGAAGCCAGAGGCCTCAAAAGAAGAATTGGGAAAGTTTGCCAAAAAAGCAAAACAAAACCCAGAGGACTGCAGGAGATGCTCTCTTCCTCCCACGTGGTAGTCTGAAGAATCCTCTTACCTGGGGGGTTAGGAGACCAGACAGAGAGGATAAATTGAGAGCGCCCAGGAAACAAGCAGCCATCCTTTTGTCTACCCTTCCCGCCACCGTGTTGACTCCACCTGCTTTCCCCGCTCTAAACCAATAGCGGCAGGGAAGAAGTGCGGAGCCCGCAGCCATTGTACCAATAAGTAAATCTAAATGGATGACGAGCCACACCGTTCTCTCCCCCCCCCCCGCCATTCCTTCAAAGCCGGCCGCCTTTGGGGGGGAATTGCATCCACCGACCTTCCCTCAGAAACTACCCAGTTAAGCTGCCTCAGGCCGAGTCGGTGACCCAGGCCAGCATTTGGAGGAAAGCCAATTAACCTCGCTTACCCTCGGCCGTTGCACCCAGCCAACGGAAGAAACTCGGTAGTCACCTGAGCGATCCGGGGGGAGACTCGGAGCCGGCCTAGGAGACTTTTTAGGCGGCGACCAAAGCAGGAGGCAGCGCCCGCTCCGCTCCGCTCCGCCAAAACTCAGGGCGGTTCTGCTCACGTTCGCCTGAGGACCGCCAGCAAGCGAAAGAAAGCCGTAAAGGTCTTCGCCCGCGCCCTCCCGGGGCCCTGGACTCGGCGCCGATTCAAGCGCGTCCTCCGCGGACCGCTAAGAGCCCGAGGTTGGCCGATTCCGCCTTCCGCTACGCCGCGAAGGCTTCTGGACGGGGAAAATCCGGGCGTCCCGTTGATTACTCTGAGCGGGGACGTTGCTAACAAGGCCGCAATCGGGGATGTTCCGGAAACACCGAAGACGTTTCTCGTCGTAGCCAGTCGCGGGGGCATTCGGAAGAAAGACAAAGGGGGCATCGCCGGCGGCCGCCCTCGATCGCTTGACCACCTCTGGCCACGCCGGGCATGTGGGCGAGGGCCTTTCGTGCGCCGCAAAAACTACATTTCCCATAGGGCCTGGCGATCGAGCACCATGGAGTTACATGTGGTCCATCTGGAGAGAAAGATCCGAGATCTCCTGGAAAATCTGGGTTTTGAGATTTATCCGTTTAAGGTACTGCGCACATGTTAGCGTCTAGAGAGCTCAGTTAACGAAGGAGATCGATATATACTTTTTATTGCACTGTAATGTCGCGCAGAAAGGCGTAAATAGTAGCTCACAGAATATGTGCTAGTCGGAAAAGGTGCTACCAGACTTCTGATTTTGTTTTGCACTATAGACCAATATACAGCTCTTCAACTATACTATCTAAAGGGTTTCCTTTCCTTGACATTATGCAGTGCTTATAATGTTAAGGAATAACTGTAGTTTTGTGTGTGTGTGTGAGAGAGAGAGAGAGAGTGAGTGAGTGTATGAGAGAGAGAGAGTACTGATTTACTATTTATTTTTGTACTTTCCTATAGAGTGGACATATTTAAATTACACATATTGGCATTCATAAGTGATATAATCGGCAGGCAATCATTTAATATTCATGGAAACAATTCATGAGGCCATCAGAACATTTTGTTGCAGCATAATTTTGCAATTTTTAGGTGAGATACAGGTGTCCTCAACTTCTGACGACAAGTGAGCCCAAAATTTCAGTTGTTAAGGGTGACTGTTAAGTGAGTTTTCCCCATTTTATGACCTTTGTTGCCACAGTGAAGAAAGTGAATCTTCACTTAAGTGAATCACTGCAGATGTTAAGTTAGTAACACGGTTTGTTAAGTGAATCTGGCTTTCCCAATGACTTTACTTGTCAGGTTGCAAAATGGTGATTGTACGACCCCAGGGACACTGCAACTGTCATAAATACGAACCAGTTTCCAAATTTTGATTAAATGACCATGGGGATGGTGCAACTATCATGTGAGAAATAGTCATGTCACCTATTTCAGTGGTGTTGTAACTAAAACGGTCATAAATAATGGTTGTAAATTGAGGATTACCTGTATTAGGAAATGCTGTTGTATGAGAATGGTGCAAATAATAAATAGATCAAACTGGCAAGTTACCTGTTTATTTGTGAGCAAATGACTCTTGCATCATTTTTTCTCCAGTTCATTTACACAGATGCAATTAATCTTCTTGCATTATTTATTCCTTTTTTTGAGCTTTTCTGTATTATTGTAATGCGCTCTACATGGGGCTGCCCTTGAAGAGTGTTCGAAGATTCCAATTAGTCCAGAATGCAGCCGCGCGAGCGATTGTGGGTGCATCAAGGTACACCCACGTTACACCTATCCTCCGCGAGCTGCACTGGCTACCTATTAGTCTCCGAATCCGCTTCAAGGTGCTGATCGCTACCTATAAAGCCCTACATGGCATCGGACCTGGGTACCTGAGAGACCGCCTCCTGCCGATTACCTCTCTCAGACCAATTAGATCGCACAGGTTGGGTCTCCTCCGGATTCCATCTGCCAGCCAATGTCGGTTGGCGACTCCCCGGGGGAGAGCCTTCTCTGTTGCAGCTCCGGCCCTCTGGAACGAGCTCCCTGTTGAGATCCGGATCCTTACTACCCTCCCGGCCTTCCGCAAAGCCACCAAATCCTGGCTGTTCCAGCAGGCTGGGGGAGCTGAGAAGCATCTACCTCCATAGAAATTGTGCATGTTGGTTTTGTTTTTAATATGTTGTCTTTGTCTTGTTCCCCCCTTTCCCTTGTCTTTTGTGAGCCGCCCGGAGTCCTCCGGGAGTGGGCGGCATACAAGACAAATAAATAAATAAATAAATTATCACTACCTTCATGTCATGCTTTCTTTCTTAAGCAATAGTTCAATTATGGGGTTTGTTTTTTAAATTTTTTGTTCCATTTAAAGATCTGTTGAGAAAGATACAGAGGAGCATGAGAGAACCAGTGAACTGTTGATTTCAAATGCTGCTTGGCAATCCAGCATCCTTTTTATATATAAAGCAGTGGGGCTCAACCTTCCTAATGCCGCGACCCTTTAATACAGTTCCTCATGTTGTGGTGATCCCCAACCATAAAATTATTTTATGTTTTCAATATTTTTTGAAAATATGTGTTTTCCAATGGTCTTAGGCGACTCCTGTGAAAGGGTTGTTCGACCCCCAAAGGGGTCCCAACCCACAGGTTGAGAACCACTAATATAAAGGAATCCTGTTGCTTACATTGGGCACAAAATCTCAGTTGCTTATTGTTACTGTCTCTTCAGATTGCATTAGTATAGAATTCTGAACCACGATGTGGCTTGATTGGGGCTGTCCAAGCCAGTGTTTTTCAACCTTTTTTGTGCAAAGGCACACTTTTTTCATGAAAAAAATCACGAGGCACACCACCATTAGAAAATGTTAAAAAAATTTAACTCTGTGCCTATATTAACTATATATAAAGTAATTTTCCCATGGCACACCTTACATTATGTCACGGCACACTAGTGTGCCGCGGCACAGTGGTTGAAAAACACTGGTCCAAGCCATCTGCTATAATTTGTACTGTAAATCACAATTTACAGCACAACCTTGCAAGTTAAACATTGAGGCTGGTGCAGTGGTTAGAATGCAGTATTGCAGGATAACTGCCCACAGTCTGGAGTTTGATCCTGATGGGACTCAAGATTGACAGCCTTCCATCTTCTGAGGTCAGTAAAATGAGGACCCAAATTGTTGGGAGCAACATGCTGACATTATAATCTGCACAGAGAGTACTGTAAAACACTATGAGGCGGTGTATAAGTATAAGAACTATTGCTATTAATTGAATAGTCTGCACAATCAAAGGAAAATTGTATATACAGTAATCTTGACAGGATAAATTGCTGTTTCTAGTTGTCTCTTTTAACATTTGAAAAGCTGAAAGATATACTGAATTAGATTTCCTATTTCTTGTTTAAAGGGGAAGTATTTTATTTGCATTTTTTAACAAGTCAAATAGATATTTTCCTAATCAAGTTGGTTATAAGCTACCAAATATGAGAAATCCTTCACCAAATTATTTTGGGGATATAACATGTCAGAGAAGTAAATTGTGCCAAATACTTTTTTTTAAAATAGTGGAAACAATAGGAACATGAAGTCAGTTCTGTAGAATGTCAGTGCTTCAAAATCACAAGGCAACCAACCCTATTACCTTGACACAACAGTTGCCAGCCAGTGATAATATGGAGGATTATATTACAGTTTGACTTAGCCAGACCAAAACAATAAATATCAAAACAAATGCTAAGGCATGGGTTACAGCAACCCTACCACATGAGTAGGCCCAACTATGTTATTAATGTACAGAACATCAACTATACACACAGTCATAATGTTCTATATAACAATGTTTTTTTATGAGCCCATCAAAATGTAAGGCAGTACTGCTCCGTATAAATTCTTTTACAAAAGCTGGCTTCTCACTGAATCATGAGCTAGTCATAAAAATATACAACACATTAATCCCTAATTAACTGAACCAAGGGTTCCTGAATTAATACAGATGTCTGGGTTAATGCACCAAGAGCCACAGATCAGTTAACTGCACTTTGTCTAGTGAGTTGTGGAAACTCAACCTGGTTTGGCATTGCAGTTTCTGTAGATAATCATATATTTGACAGTGCCATCTGTGCCTGGCATCTCTGAATTCAGATTCATCAAGTAAGGGCCTCAGTGCAAGGAAAGGGAGGACTAGATTGCAATTAAAAGAAGGACAGTACTGTTCTCGGAGCCAGTGCTAATAATTTTATTGGATGGTATGCTAGGAAATGCAAACTTGAATATGGAAAGAATAAAAGTCAAAGGTAACAAACCTGACTAAAGTCATACTTGGACAGAAATAATTATTTTAGAGGAAAAAAAGGCAGGTCCTTCCTACACATTTGATGGAAGAAGATTGTAGAAAGGAAAATATATAATGGGCATATCATGTTATGGGTCCAATTGTAGATGCCAAACTTTAATTATACAAAGTGGTGATTTTTCACTAAACAAGGTTTCTCACTAAACGAGAACACTTAACATTCATCTGTTGTTCATTGTCAGCTCACATAATGCTCTATTTGTGGTTTCTTAAATAAGACACTGGATTCACATAACCCTAAATTAGTTATTTGCAAACGTAATGCGAGATGTTATGTCAAAGTAATTAAATTATATTATGAATTAGTGCAACCATGACTTCTTGCGCATTTTTTGAATAATGTCTTAAACTTTCATTTACTCAAATGCATGCTTACTCTCTTTGATTTATTTGGCTTACGAGTTCTCAGCAGAATAGCATCTTTATGTTTTTTTCCTGGTACGAGATTGCATAGTCCATCATAGAAGTAATAACAGGACTTATCATCCTTTTTTTCATTGGAACTCAACTGCTGAGATGAGTCCTTGTAATAGGAAGTCTTTTGAGCTTCCATTTGGAGTTCAAGACTTGCATATGTTAGAACCATATGATGGTAGGCAGGCCCCCATCAACTAACACAGACTGACAATGAATCAATTGCTGTATCCAAGGTTTTATTGAACAGTTTCAGAGATCAGCTGGCAGAACCAGCACTATTAATAGGCAAATAGGCTTGCCCACCTTTATGTCTCCAAATAATTGCTGTGCATTTGAAAGTATTGCAACAGAATAATAGATTGCTAAATCCAATTGTTGCATTCCCTTATTAGATATAGTTTATCCTGTGTATGTAATTGTTTGTGGAGGACTTTGCAAAAGTGCAGGAGTCCTGATGGGTCAAAAAGGATGGCAACCCCTGTGAAGAATAGCTGGAATCATAAGGATCAGGGTTTCAGCTTGAACTGTAGCCCATACATATTGCATACAGGGCATGGGGAATAACCTCACCTCAAAATCTGTTGGACAGCCAAGAAAGACAAAGCAGTGACTAACATTTAGTTCAGCAATAGCAATATGTAGCCCCTAGTGCTTGATCAGAGCTGGGTAGCTCTTGGGTTTATGCAGCCCCTAGCATTCAACTAGTGATTCCTGGAGTTTCTACAAGCCATGTCACTGAGCATTAGCAAAATATCTATTCTGGAAAGCAATCGTTTGTCCATTTCTTTAACTAAAACCAAGAAGGAGAAAGTTTCATGATGCCTTTTTCTCCTAGTACTGTTCTCTTGAACTACCTCAGAGGGATGAGCCTCCACCCACTTAGAAAATTTTCTTTTCTTTTATGGGGTAAAAAAGGAAAAATGCAACTACAAGAAGATTGCTTCCCCAAGACCAATATGCACAGTAGATGTTTATGAACAAGTGATTAATGTATAGTAGTTTGTAGTATAATCACAGAAAGGGAACTTACCCTTCCACTGTAAGAAATTATGATTGTAATGTTCTATGTTTCCGTCTGTGATCCTGGAAAGCAAAAATATATGTTTGATTAGCAGTAGCACCATTTGTAGTGCATCACATCTAAAAGCCTATTTTTATATATGCATTCACACATTACACTAATCTTTTTTCATAATTACATTTATAATTTAATTATAAATTTGTTCCACTTTGCTTCAGCATATTATGTGAATTATACTGCTATGGTTTCAAAATCAGAGTTCGTTTATAATTTAATGTGTTATACAAATGCTTAGGCAAGTGAGGTTTAGTAAATAAACCATTGACAGGCAAACTAAGGCTTGGTATATGTGAATTATGCCATTCTACCCCCCATATTGGGAAACACTGCTACCTGCCCTGAGCGTTTACTCAAAGGACAGTTTCCATTGATTGAGAGGCCTGGATTGGGGTGGGGGATGGGATGGGCATCCAAAACAAATGTTATTTGAAAGATGGCCTTCCCTTTTCTAAGCTACCTGTATAGTGACTTTCTCCTTATATCTTCAACTGAAAAATCCTATTCATGTGTTTATGGAATCTTGATGCAAAAAATCTATGGTAGAATATGGTTTCTGGGGAAAAAAGGATAAGCAATCTGCTCTATTGTCTTGGTCAGAGTCTTCCATTTATACAAGGTCTTCCATTTTGAGCAATATTTTCACAACACACCCATAATTAGTAATAATTTGCTTTGCCCAGTTGCATGACATTAAATTATAAGGTAGTACTATAGCACAGTATGCTATAGTATGAATGCAACTTGTCAGACTAAAATGTCATTAGCTATTTTGCAGCTAAGTCATGGAAACAGCTGTGGGAAGTTATCATCCAGCCCTCTCCCAGAAAAATGAAATATCCTAGGANCTTGGCCTTATTTTCAGGGAGGTCTTATTATTTTTGAGGTGCAGGAGACAGTGAGCGTGGTCACCTCATGGCTGTTGCTGTGTTGCAATATTTTTGGGAAGGGCTTATTTTCGGGGGAAGACTTATTTTAGTCCATGTGCTCAAAAGCCCAATTGGACTTATCTTATTTTGGGGAAAACAGGGTATGTATACACACAGACACACACACATGGCAAAGATTGACATTTTATCACATAATTATTTAGTTTCTAAAAAAAATAGAATGTTATCTGACTTATTTTCTGACATTATAGCATATTATTAATGCTATAATATGATAGGTCAGTGGTCCCCATCCTTTCCAGCTCCGTAGTGGCAGTGGGGGAGGTGAGACAAGGGGATGGTTTTGCACATGTGCACACTGCTTAAACCAATGGAAATTCCCATTTGCACTGACAGTTACCAACAGGCCACGGACCACTATTGGTCTGCATACTGGGGTTTGGGGACCCTGATATAAGGAAAGAATAATCCAGGGCATTTAGATTCTGAAGAACATATGCACACTGTCTCTCAAAGTTTAAGACACTGCACAGTTTGAACTGGGAAGACAGACCAAATGATGCTTTCCCTTCCTCCTAAAGGAAAATCCAAAATTTATAAGCCAAAGAAAATTTTGCCTAATGAAAAGCCAATGAAATGCCTTATTTATTTATTATTTAGTTATTTACTTACTTCAGAATTCTTTTTAAAATAAATTGTAAGTTTCATTATAAGATTAAAAATGCAGAAAAAAAAACAAAAGTTAGAAAAAACTAAGAGACAGAGAAATGTGCAGAGAAGGAGAAAAACATTGCTGACTTCTGACTTTTTTTGTTGCAATCAAGCAAACACAAACCACAATGTTTTGCTTTGCCTTTTGCAACATTTCAATCTATTTCTATAATAACAAAACTATTCTAATCATGAACACCTAAAATCAAAGTTTCATTTTTTCAGTTTTGAGCAAAAAGTCCAAGAGCAGTTTTCAAGTAGAAATAAAATTAGATTAAATCTTCTCCAGTTTTCATCTCTCTGCTAACCATTACCTTTACCACTCATTTTTTATGCCTTTCCATCTTTGGCATTTAAGGTTCTCACGCTGTCAACATAAATAATAACAGAATTTCAAATTTTCTTTCAAGTTCTTTATCCACCAAACCTAAAAAGAGACTTTTTTGGTTTCAATTTTATATTTATTTTAAGAATCTTTTGAAAAAATCTGATTACAATATTTCTTTGCTTTGTCACAAGTCCACCAAAGTTAACAAAAAAAAACCAACCCAACTTCTTTGCATTTGCAATTCCAATTCAGAACTCAAAATATGAATAATAAATATTTGTTCACATTTGATGAATGATGGTCTACAGCAGGGGTGTCAAACTCAATTTGATTGAGGGCTGCATCAGGGTTGTGTTTGACCTTGGGGGGACAGGGTGGTTGTGGCCAGGGTTGGCCAGGCCGACGTCACTTGTGTGGGGGATGCCTGTGGTGGCCCAAATGTAGTTTTTGGCTACCATGGCCTGCAACCCTCTGCCAGTGAAAATGGAGCTCAGGAGGGCCACTCTCCCGAGCTCCATTTTCATTGGCAGAGACACCGTAGGCCGGTCCTTTGTAGTTTCCAGGGCAGCCCCGCAGGCCAGATCTAAGCAACCCGTGGGCTGGATCTGGCCTCTGGGCCTTGAGTTTGACACCCCTGGTCTACAGTATTAGCTTTTAATTTATAGTGGGTTCATCAGCTGCATATAAAAGAAACAAAAGTAAAATTGTGTACAGGAAGTTTTGTGGAAATGTTCTTACTGATATTAACATGCTATCTGCTTTTGTACTATACTTTATAAATGTGTACTCAGGAACACGATTTATATGTGAAAATATGTCCAGATTATAAACTTTCAAATGACTGAGGCAGGATTAAATGTCTTTTATTACTTAAAATACTGGAGTAATGAAACAGCTAGAATTCTGCTGCCTTATGAATCAAAACTGAGAATTGCACTAACATGCACTTAAAATGACAAACTTGTCTCCTCCCAAATGATCCAAGAGAGCTTAATTATTAGGGAAGTGCTATAATGTTAGTCAAGCTTTAGTATACCTTTGCAAATTGTTGGAATGATTCACTCATATTGGGCCATAGCATTTTAAAGTTTGCAACTTGTCCCCAAGCTTCCCACACCTATAGTTATTTTATCTAAAAATCCTGTCCTTTGTTGTTGTTGTTGTTGAATTGCCTGTCTCCAGGTTCTGTTTCAGATGAATTTGTAAAAAAAGAGAAATCATTTACTATCCCATTAGTGAACTTGTAAAAAAAATAGCACAAATTAGATAGCACAAATTAGAAAGCACTGCTGTGTGCAGGTTGCAAATTTTCATCCTTTTCTCCTCTTGGGAAATGGTCAGTGACTTCTCTCTGTTATGGGCAGCCCTTAGAAAACAAAAAAAATCCTATTCTTTAATATTTATTTATATTTATTCTGGGTGTCAATTATTGTGATGATGCAGTGCATAAGTGCACCAACACTACCGTCCCTGTCCTAACAACCCCATTTATTCGTATCCATTTCATGTATTCATAATCTTGTATGTACTTATATCTATTATCTTATACATGCTTGACAAAACAGATAAATAAAATGTCACAAGATTCTAAATGATTAAAACGGCTTATTCATGGGGTATAGTTTTTGCTTAGATTATCATCTCTTTATTTCATAGCCAATGTCTGGAACCACAACTGGTAATGCAAGACTTTCATTCTCTTTTCATAACGCTTACTCATTTGCTAAACCTGTGACACACAAGGAGCACCCTGGCACTTTTAGAGAGTTTCCTAACAAAAAGTACCAAAGTTTAGCATAAAGGTCAAAAAGAGTTATGGATTAACAGCTCGCCATGGGGACTTTGCAATTTTAAGAAAGCAAAATGCAAAGAGTGAGCATAACACTGAATCACTGCTCTTTTGTGACTGCTTTAGACAGCTGGCTCAGGATATAGGATAATAGTCATTGGAAGACACTGATGGTTTTTTGCTCTTGGTATTGTGGGAAGTTATCATCCAGCCCTCTCCCAGAAAAATGAAATATCCTAGGAAATATTGAAAAGGCAGAATATTTCTCTGGATATGAAAAGAAAGAAACATGTTTTAAAAGACAGAATAGTTGCCTGTAGCTTCCTGCCCATCCCCACTGTTAATGGGCCATTAAGAAGGCCAAGCTAGTCCCTTTTACATAAGCCCCAGAGGGGATGGGAGTAAAGGCATGATAATATTGGCTCTTTACTCAACTGACCACATGGCATCTGAGAACTCAACCAAATCTGGATTCAAAACACAGCCTAGAGAGTAGCCCCTGCATGGCCCTATGGGAGTCTGACAACCAATCAGAATACATTTCTTACACAGGAACAGGAAACAGAGAGGTGGGACTGAACAGGTTATAAAAAGCCTAGCAAGCCCCTCCCTCAGCCCTTCTCTTCTTCTCCACAACATTGACATTGAAGCATGTGATCACTGTGGCTCTGTCCAACAATAAACCATCTTTCCAAGCAGCCTCCATGTCTCCAGTGTCTTTTTCCCCACTTGGAGCCGAACCCAGAAGGACATTTCTTTCATCAGTATCTGATAGCATCTCTTAAAAGCAGGCACTGCAACATCTAAATGTGCCATTAATCACTTCTTTGATTGTCTTTCAAGTTAATGATATGATTATCTTTGCAAGGTGTTCATACTGAGCAGAATATGAAACAAGCAAACATGTTTCATTTGCTATTATTACCCCCCCCCTAAGCCTAAACTAGAGAATTCTAGTTTCAAGAGAATCAAAGCTTACAGAAGCCATTTCTACATTGATTTATAATTTATGGGGAATTTGTTTTTGTTTTTAAATTAAAATTCTGTAAAACTTAACATGGTTATTCTTAGTCAATTGTTTACAAGATACTGTAATAGGTATAAGAATAAACATGAGTATGAATGAAATGGGTACGAATAAATGGGGACAGTAGGATAGGGACATAGGCACGATGGTACACTTATGCACATCCCTTACAAACCTCTTAGGAATGGGGAGAGGTCAACAGTAGACAGTCTAAGGTTAAAGTTATTTGAAGATGTAACAACACGGTCAGGTAGAGCATTCCAGGCATTGACCACTCTGTTGCTGAAGTCGTATTTTCTGCAATCGAGTTTGGAGCGGTTTACCTTGAGTTTGTATATGTTGTGTGCTCTTGTATTATTGCAGTTGAAGCTGAAGTAGTCATTGACCGATAGGACATTGTAGCGGATAATTTTGTACTATGCTTAAATCCAACCATAGGTGGCGTAGTTCTAGGTTGTCTAAGCCCAAAATTTCAAGCCTGGTAGTATAGGGTATTCTGTCGCGAGCAGAGGAGTGGACGACTCTTCTCGTGAAATACCTCAGAACTTGCTCAATTGCATTAATGTCTGATATACAGTGCGGATTCCAGACAGATGAGCTGTATTCGAGAACTGGTCTAGCAAAGGTTTTGTATGCCCTTTTAAAGGGCATACAAATTTTGTTTTATTTTATTTATTTTAAAGACAAGCATATTTATACTGTCATAAGACTTGGGTCTTCAACATGATCCTTAGGTCCAAAATATCTTTGTGGAGACCTCCTTCAGCTTCCATCAATATTTCTGCCCCATGAGATTTTATTTTGTTTTATATTCATTTGAAGAGGTAGGAGTGGGTTCTAATTGGCATATTTATGGAGAGAAGGAAAGATGGGCTATTAACATGCCAGGAAAGGAGAAATATTAGATAGCTTGTGCTTGTCCTTTTTGCCTTAACTGGGCTATTCCTAGTCACACGGCTGAAGACGTTGCTATACTCCATCAGTCAAATCTATGAAGTAAACTACATCAAGGAATTAATTCCATTGGAAGACTGTAGCTGTAACTTATTGAGGTAAATTATTGTAGGAAATCTTGCAAAACTACTTGTGTTCTTTCTACCTTCCCTTTTATACCCCCTTTATATCATTGTATCCTTTCCATTTAAGCCAATGGACCTTTTGAGATCTTGCCAGATTGCATGGAATCTTTGCTAATTCACGTACTGAATACAGGTAGTTTTTGACTGTCAACTATTTGTTTAGTGACGGTTCAAAGTTACCATGGCACTGAAAAAAATGACTCATAACCACTTTTCACATTATCCTGTAGTCACGTGATCAAAATTCAGATGCTTATCAATTGTCATGTATTGATGATGGCTGCAGTGTCCCAAGGTCATGGAATCACTTTTTGTGACCGTCAGACAAGCAAAGTCAATGGGGAAGTCAGATTCAATTAATAACCATGTTACTAATTTACCAACTGCAATGATTCACTTAACAATTGTGGCAAGCAAGGTCATAAAATGGAGCAAAACTCACTTAACAACTATCTTGCTTAGCAATGAAAATTTTGGCCTCAATTCTGGTCATAAGTCAAGGACTACCTGTAGATGTTTTGAAGACAAAAGGTACTGTAGATAGATAACTAGTTTTTATTGCTTTTCCATACTGTACCAAATTTCCTCCACCAAGAAGTGAGAGGGAAAGAGCTGGATTTGCTCTGAGCTGATTGAATCATTATTTATGATGAGGATCAACTGTTTATGTTTTAACTTACTCTCTTACTATTAGGACCAGTCATAGATACAGTATGTACTCTTGGCAAATGCTTGTTTTATATCCCAAAGGTGCTTTTTCATTTTTTTATTTTATTTTATTTTATTTTTATAAATTTTTATTTTAAACACATAANCACTTGGAGCCGAACCCAGAAGGACATTTCTTTCATCACAGCGTATGACTTTTTTCTAAGACTGAACTTGTTGTTTTAAGCATGTGGAACAAGGGGATAAAATCCTATTCAGCTGAAAAAGGGGCTTCCTGGCAAAAGTTTATGTGATAGTATGGTTGGATTAAAACTAGGCCAATTCTATATTCTAGCAGTACAGACACAGGAGGAAGGAATGACCAAGTTATTATGACTTTTGCACCACCCCCACGGTCACTTGAACACAATTCTGGTGCTTGGCAGCTGGCTTGTATTTATGACCAGTTACAGCATCCTGTGGTTACATGATTGTGATTTGCAACCTTTTTTGCCGACTTCCAGCAACACATGCCACCGAGGAAGCTGGAGTCACTTTGACTGTGATTTACTCAATGACTGTGGTGATTTGCTTAAGAACTGTTGTAAAAATTGTTACAACATCAGGTCCAACTTGACTCACAACCATAATGACTTATGACAGGAATTCTAGCCCCAATTGTGCTTGTAAGTCAAGGAGTACCGATATGATCTACTGAACACAAACTAGCCTTATGTGTTATGTGAACCCAGCCCATGTGGTCAGTTTATAGTTCGTTGTATGCTGATCTAACGTGCTTATCCATGGTTAATTAATTTACATTCATCTTTAAACTAGTCAGCTATCCAACCATACTGGGGTTACACAAACATTTAACCAGAGACTAGGCAACCACATTGTAATTTAGAGTTTTGTGTGAATTTGGCTCATCTTATGTCAGCATATCTTACATTTTGTTTGAATAAAATTGCTTATAATGGCAAAGTTTCAACAGCTACCAGGATAAATGTTTCATCCTAGAGTTGAAAAGACAGCACAATTTAAACGTAGGTTTGTACCCACAGTGGTACAAAGGCCATTAAATCATTTAATCCTCATTTAGATTTAGAGAGAGAAGGGAGAACAAAAGCAAGATACCATCACTGAGTAGAGCTTTCCCTATTCATGGGTTCTCCAATCAGCCCACTTTTCTGTGTTTGAATGATATACTATGACTTGGAATCGAATTAGATATGTTAGAACCATATAATTGAACCCAGACATGTAAAAAGAAGTCACAGGTAGCAAGAGTTTTTACAACAAAAAATGTCTGTGATTTTATGAAGCACACAGAATCTTTACCAGTTTCTCTTCCCAATTTATTTCTCACCAACCAAGAAAGCTACAATATGTTGTGTTCAAGTCAGATATTATTGGAACATTTTACTGAGAATTAATTCATCCCTAGTAAAATCTTCATACTTTTTTTTTTTAAAGTGGGGTTTTCATTTAGTGGAATATAAGGACCTACTTTAAAGTTTTATGCTAACATGCACGCAAAATTGTCATCATATCTATCTGAATAAATAAGTATCTGATTTAGATCACTATTATCTGCCTTCAAATAGAATTTTCAAAATGTGTCGGCTTATGACCACACAAGTACTTTGTTTGCCCTATAATTCATCTTTGGATATGAAACACATGGTTCAACGAAGGCCCCAAACTTCTTGCTTACTTCTGCTCACATCCATTATGATATCACAAGGAGCAAATATGCTATGTCATTAACTCACATTAGACATTGAATTGTAAACTCTAAATTAATTCCAGTTTTCAAGCAATAAGTACTTGAAATTAATAGCAACAGCAATAGCACTTAGACTTACATACTGTTTCATAGTGCTTTCTGCTTTCTGTGACAACAATGTGTCAACACATTGCCCCCAACAATCCTCATGAAATTAAATTACTTGAAATTAAAATTTAAAAATCTTCAGTTTCACTTCTGGTATTGAAGTTTGCATTTGCATTATAAAATCATGATTTGAAGCTGGTTTAAATCCATTAAACTTATAATCATAGTTTCCCATATTAAAAAAATACAGATGCATCAGAAAGAATGCAGTGAGCCTGTTAAAAGCTTATATTGGCTAATTAGGTTGAGATATGATTACTGTTTTATTTAGTTTCCCCCCTCCCCACTTTAATTCTGTATAACGAGTTCTAGTATTAGCCTAACGGGTAAATCTGATATGCAAACCAGCTTCCCATTTCTCTGTTTCTACCCTTTCTGTTTCAATTCAGGCCTTGAAAGATAATTGAAAATCTTTAAATTTTGGGAAACTGAATTTTAGGAAAAAATGCAGCTGTTGTTCAGTTTCTGTATGTTTATCTAACCTTTTTTAAATACATCCCATAGCATCAGATTATGGAGTAAAGATATATTTAATCTTTTGATTGTAGGGAAAAAAAATCAACTGCTACTTTTTTCTTCTTTTGGAGAATGAAACTTAGCTTTTTTTCCTTCTCTCCTGAAGGTAGGATGGTATAATGAGATTCTTCCTCCAACTTTTCATCTGCGGTACTCTGACGATACTCTGGCATTTGTAGTGCTTAGCATTCCTGCTATGTTTGACAAGGCATTCAAACCCTTCCTGAAGAAGCAGCTGCTTAAGAAGATTCACGATCCGGTGGATCAATGCATTTCTTATCATCTGTCGATGGTTAGGGAGGTAAGACTCATACGTTTCTCCCCTTTCGTCTTTTCTCCCTTACAAATACAAAAACAGACCTGCTTGATTATGGCAAGACTCAATCCAGTGTCCTATTTCTAACAGTAGATAGCCATTAATATCCATGCACACAACTATTATTTGCATTTATTCAAAGGCAAACTCGTGGTTTTGGCATATAAATACAATGCTAGCATGGTTTGGCAATGCCTTTTCTGACCTAGACCATGATATCCTTCTCCAATAAGCAGGCTTATGGACTTCTGTTCTATTCCACTCCTACAGGACCCCTGTTCCTGGTCACTAGTGCATGGCTTAGCATTATTTGTTAATCTGATCAATTGTGGCTTATTTATGAAACTGTGACCAAGGATACCATAGTTTTGTATGCTCTGCAATCTCAGCTAATATGTCTAAATCTTCATTTAACCAATATTGCTAATATCAGTGGATGAATATATTTATATGTTGTATCCATATTTAAGCCAGCACCTACTGTGAACTCTTCTGAGAGCTAGTGTGACAGTGTAGAGCAGGAAATCCAACTTTTGGTCCATTCCTAACCACAGAATCTCGCTAGGTGATTTTGGTCACTCACTTTTCTCAGCCCTTGCTACCTCATATGGTATTGCTATGAGAAAAGGTAGGGAGAGGAAGCATTATATTGTATATACCACTTTGAACTGCCAGATGAATAGTAATATAAATCTAATAAATAAATGCAATTCTTGTCATATCAACATTTTATTTAATGCAATATTATACTTAGCTTACCAATTCTGCTATACTTGTTGATAGTGTTAAGAGCTAATAAAGCAGAGCTTACCTGATTTTTCCTCAGGAACACTGCTTTCTCGTAGTATAATAATCTACTTTTAATACTGTAATGCTTTCCACACATCTGGGCAAGATAGAACTTCTCCTAGGCGCTGCTTGGAGTGTCCAAGCTCAGGTTAACTTCAGCTTGCTGCCCAAGGAACTGAGTTTGAAACTTTGTTGTAGCTCCACCTCCTGGTTGCTCCAGAGTCCCAGTTTTAAAAAAACTCAGTCGCCCAACAAGACGTATTTCCAGGGGCTCCAGTCCTTGTGCAGCAAGCTGGACCCCGATTTAGTATTTCCTAAAGAGTTTGTAGCTCCTTTTTTTGCTAGATAGGTTGCAGTTAGGGTAATTTTATCCTGCTTTTCTACTTCTTCGAGAATTCTGCCTTAATCCATCACGCAGGCAGGCTCCCTGGGGCAATCACAGCCCAGCCTCCACCTGGGCTGTTTCTAGGTCGGGTCTCTCCCAAAACGCCGGTTCAGTGAGTACATGGGGGGGGGGGATTCATCTGCTAAAGCCTTCCTGAGCCCTTGACAGGAGCGCTAGGCTCCGTGTCGGCCCGACAACGCTCCAGGCGCGTGTGGCAAAAGAGCCCGCCATTTTAAACGGCCCGTTTTGGCGCGCTTTCATTTCCAGGCCTCTATTCTTGCCACGCAGCGTCCCTTGAACAGCGGATCGCCGTGGAGGGCCGCCTTAAGCCCGGAGACTCACGTGAGATGCTCACGCTGTCTCTTGCCCTCCTTCTCCTTCCAGCGGCCGCAGGGAACCCGGGCTTCAAACCCCCGCCTACCTGCCTTCAGNTTGTTTACCATCCTTCACACCTGCTATGACACCACCTTATTTTCAAAAGACAACTGGACTTTGTTTTTCCTCCTTTTCCAGTTGCCTTTTGAAAAAGCACCTTTGGGACAAGCATGACTTGGATGACTGAGAATCTCTATAGATATTTGCTTGTTTTGTAGTTTTGAATTCTTTCTGACTTACAGATCCTGAGGATATAGGCTAATAATATAGAGAGATGAGTGCTTACACAATCATTGCCTCTACTTAACTGAGTAAGACTAGCCTCATGGCTACAAGAGAGTGATCATTGCCTTTTTGCAGTAGAGCATGTGATATTCTGGATTGTAATAATAATACCTGTCCATCTAAGACAGTGGTTCTCAACCTGTGGGTCGGGACCCCTTTGGGGGTCGAATGACCCTTTCACAGGGGTCGCCTAAGACCATTGGAAAACACATATTTTCGATGTTCTTAGGAACCGAGACACTAATTTTATGGTTGGGGGTCACCACAACATGAGGAACTATAGCTAATTCTCTAGGTACAGACTGATTAGGTTTTTGACCGAGATAGGATATTGAAACGCCTTTGATCATGTTATTTCATAACCAAAGCTAGAAACTATTGGGAGCTATGCACTTCTGCTGGTTTACCTTCTGCTGGCTTTTAACACCATCAACCATGCTATCCTTCTGGACTTCATGAAACCTGGAGAGGATGGTTTTCCAACAACTTCAGTTCTTCCCAGTTGGCGCAAGGAAATATGATGCTTGCACTGAAAGAATCTGCACTGGTTGCCAGTTACTTTTTTCCCCCTTCTTTTCAGTCGAGTTTGGTTCTCTGGGACTTGGACAAGTCCCTGCGGTTTTATTGGCAAGGATTTTCATAAGTGGGTTTGCCATTGCCTCCTTTCTGGGACTGAGAAAAAGTGACTAGCTCAAGGTCACCCAGTTGACTTTGTGTCCAAGGCAGGACAAGAACTCACAATCTCCTAGTTTCTACCTTGATGCCTTAGCCATTATACACTACTGGCTCATCCACTTGCTTACCATGCACAATTTAAGGTATTGGTATTAATTTTTAATGTTCTAATTTAAGGATACATTTTGCTCCTTTAAAATGTGTTAAGTCATTTGTTAAGACCTACAAGCTCTTCCTGGCACGCAGGAAAGTTCTTTCCTTAGGTTGCTCCTGTCTATGATATACTCTTCCTGAAGAATTCTATTTAATTCTCACTCTCCTGTTGTTTAGAAAATATCCCTTTTACTGGATTTAATTATTGCATGCCTTTAGTATTTAATCTTAGTTTTAGTCTATGTTTTTACTTAATATACTTTATCTTTTTGTTTACCAAAATTTCTATACTGCTAAATTTCAATAGCCTCTTTAAGTGGCTAATAACAACTCTAACACATAAACAATACCGCACCAAACTGGTGTTTGCCAGCTTTATCAACTATAAAAGGGTGGAAGTCCACAAGTCCACCCATCTTAAAGTTGATAAGAGGGGCTAACTGATCCCCAAATGCCTTCCCTAAACACTCAGGTATTCATAGCTCCTTGGAAGTCCAACAAGGCAATTGAATATGTGATGTTTGCTCTCCAAAGAAGTGAGGCCATTGCCAGGAAGGTTCACCTCTAGGGTACCCTTCCTCAAAGAAAAACACTTTAGAAAATCTTCCTGGCTTTCTTGAGCAGTTTCTAAAGCAGAAATATGGGGTATAAATCAGGTAAATATGATAATTAATTATCATGTTTCAAAAAAATTATTTAAAACAGCAGAAATTTACCATGGCTAGGGGATCAAATGTATTTATGCTAATTTTCTACATTGTGGCATATTTTTAAAATCAGGGTATGACATTTAACAGAATAACAGAGTGGGAAGGGACCTTGGAGGTCTTCTAGTCCAATTTCCTGCTCAAACAAGAAACCTATACTGCTGAAAACAAATGGTTGTCCAATCTGTCCTTTAAAACCTCCAGTGTTGGGGCACCCACAACTTCTGGAGGAAAATCATTTCAAAGATTAATTGTTCTGTCAGGACATTTCTCATTAGCTCTAGGTTGGTTCTCTCCTTGATTTTTTCCCATCCATTGCTTCTTCTTCTCCTGCCTCCAGTTTCTTTGGAGAATAGGTTGACCTCCTCTTCTTTGTAGCTGCACCTTATTATTTATTGTAGGTTTTTAAATTGTAGTTTCCGCCAAATAGTTTATTGTAGTTTCTGCCAAATTCCTGATTCCTTTAATAAGTATCTTGCAACTGGGAGGAAATAGAAAGGCTTAGATCTATATAAATAATTCCAGGTTCTATTTTACACGAAAACATTGTTGCAGTCTATGGAGATTCTCAGTCATCCAGGTCATGGATGTCCCAAAGGTGTTTTTTCAAGAGGTAATTGGACCTGTTTTTTCTTTGGAGATTTCTCATCCAGAGCTGAAGAAGCTTCTTGAATGAGATGTGATATGTCTTCAAAGAAAAAACAAGAAAATTCAATTGCCTCTTGAAAAAGCACCTTTGAGACTACTGTTGTAGTCATTATAATATCAGTGTTGAAATTTTATGCATCATTAAATCTGTGTAGTTGTATTTGCACATGTTCTGTATCGTGTGGCATTCTGCACTTTGAGGGAAACCAAAAGAGCATCCCAGATGGAGAATTCTTTCACATCTTGTCAGTTTATACATGCTATGACTCAGGACTAATCTGCATAATCTTTCTGAGAAGAATTATTATTATTCTAATTGACTGACAAAAAATGACTTGAAAAATACAAATAATCTAAGACTTAGTAATTAAAACACAATCCTGAAAGGTACTATGATCAGAAGCAACTTAAACGGAGAAGGTGCTGGTAATTTTTTATTACGATCATGATTAGATTAGATTTTTAACCCACCTTTATTAGTTTATAACAGGGGTGCCAAACTCAAGGCCCGCAGGCTGGATCTGGCCTACGCGGTGCTTAGATCTGGCCCACTGGGCCAACCTGGAAACAGCAAAGGACCGATCCATGGTGCCTCTGCTCCGTTTTTGTTGGCAGAGGGCTGCAGGATGTTGAGCTGGCCACACCTACGCTGATCATGCTCACCCTAGTCATGTGCACTAGGCCCCCGAAGTCAAACACAACTTTGATGCAGCCCTCAATGAAATTGAGTTTGACATTCCTGCTTTATAAGAAACTCAAGGCAGTGAACCAGAGTTGGGTTGCTCCCAGTTCGGCTGAACCAGTAGTGGCAGCGCTGGGAGGCTCCGCTCACCCACCTGGACGCTTTGCGCGCAAGCACAAGCAAGCCAGTAGTAAACCGGTTAGCAACCCACCACTGCAGTGAACATACATAAAACTCCCTATTTTCCTCAGAACAGCAATCCTTAGAAGTGGTTTAGGCTTAGAGAGAATGATTGTCCCAAGTCACACAGCCATTTTTCATGCTTAAAGTGGGACTACAACTCAGTCTCGCAGTTCTAGGCCAGCACTGAACTGGTTCCCATTCTTTGAAATCACTAAGACAAAAACTAGAATATGTAGTATAGATATTTTTCTCATAATGAAATTGCCACAATCTGCACTTATCTGGAGAACAAAATAAGAGATAGCAATAGCAGCAATAGCAGACTTATATACCGCTTCACGGTGCTTTACAGCCCTCTCTAAGCGGTTTACAGAGTTAGCATCTTGCCCCCAACAATCTGGGTCCTCATTTTACCGACCTTGGAAAGATCGAAGACTGAGTCAACCTTCAGCTTAGTGAGATTCAAACTGCCAAATTGCAGGCAGTCAGCAGAAATAGATTGCAGTACTGCATTCTAACCATTGCACTACAGTGGATCTTTTGATGATTAAGCTGAAGAGCATAAAGATATTTTTAATGCTCTAATTGCCCAGTTCTTCACACAGCTATGTACTTTGGACATTTAAATTCGGGTTAATTGGCTAATAGTACCTTGAGTTCAAAGGTGTTTAAACTACAATGCCAAATATCAGGAGTCTTTTTCTGATAGCTAATACTTAATCCCATAATGACTTATTATGGGCAAAATATAAAGCAATGTTTAAATACTATTACACCACCTGTAAGAACATTAAATTCTGCCAGTATGCTGCACAATAGAACAATAATAAAAAGCACACCTGCATAAGATAATGATGCCAATGTAAGCAAATTATTTTAAGTAGCACTAATAATCGTATGTTACAACAAAGAACAGGAAAGTAACAATTTATTTAATCTATTTTAAGCTACCTCAATTGCAAAAAGAAGTCTAGGTGATGTACAAGAAATTAATAAATGCATTTAAAAGCAAAACCAAAGAAAGCTAATAAAGAATTGTCTGAAGAACCAGTCACACTCCAATTGGATTGATCTCCTGCACTCAGCTGCCAGAAGAGGCATGCTCTCGACCTTACAGGTCAAGGAATTTTAGTTGGCAGGGTCCAAGGGAAGAGCCTTTTCTGCTCTATGGAACATTGTATCTCTTCATATAACTCTGACACCACCCTCCTGATCTTCCGTAAGGGCCTGCCAGTTGGCCTGAGACCCCAAAGGGGATGCACCAAGGTGGCGCAGTGGTTAGGGTGCAGTACTGCAGGCCACTTCAGCTGACTGTTATCTGCAGTGCAGCGGTTCTAATCTCACCGGCTCAAGGTTGAC